AAAGATATATGGGGTTCTTCACAATGCTCTGGGCAACACTCTGCCTCCCTTTCTTCTTCCTCTGTCTTAAAACAGCCTTCTCATCCTCTTTACATGCTTCTTCCTTCTCAACAACACATCTCTGCTCTCAGGAGGAGGCTGCTGCTTTGTTGCAATTCAAGACTTCCTTTTCCATCAATTCAACTGTTTATAATCCTTTATGTGAAGATTTTAATGATATTAAAGCAAATTATTCTAAGACTGAGTCTTGGAAGGAAGGTATCGACTGCTGTTCCTGGGATGGGATTAGCTGTGATAATGTCACAGGTCATGTAATCGCCCTTGATCTCAGATGTAGTCTCCTTTCTGGTACCTTTCCTTCCAACAGCACTCTTTTTCTCCTCAAAAACCTGCAGAGCCTCAATCTTGCCTTCAATGATTTTAGGCTTTCCAAGATTCCAGCTTCTATAGGGAACTTATCCCAACTTACTTACCTATCCCTTTCTCGTAACAATCTTAGCGGACAAATCCCAACATCACTTGCAAACCTCACACAACTTCGCTTACTCGACCTTTCAAAGAATCACTTTTTTGGTCCCATTCCAGCTTCTATAGGGAACTTATCCCAACTTACTTACCTATTCCTTTCTCGTAACAATCTTAGCGGACAAATCCCATCATCACTTGCAAACCTCACACAACTTCGCTCACTCGACCTTTCAAATAATTACTTTTCTGGTTCCATTCCTTTTCTTGCAAGCAGGTTTTCCAAACTTAGCTCTCTAGACTTATCTTACAACTTACTTAATGGCACGATGCCACCTTGGATTTTCACCCTACCTTTCTTAGTGGTCTTGCGGCTCAATCATAACCAACTTCAAGGTCAAATAAATCAATTCCAGCAAAAATCACTCATAGAGCTGAATTTGTCAAACAATAAACTCCGAGGCCCGATTCCTAGCTCAATTGCTAATTTTGTAGATCTTAGATATCTCTATTTGTCGTCAAATTATCTCAATGATTCAGTAGTACCATCTGACATGTTCTCGAGACTTCAAAATCTGGAAATCATCATTCTTTCATACAATAATATTTCTCTGAGAATCAATGTCGATGCCAATTTCACATTACCCAAAGTAACTCATTTTGACTTGTCTTCTTGTAAGTTGAGTGAATTCCCCAATTTCTTAAGACATTCAGGTGGTCTGCAAAGCCTACTGCTATCAAAGAATAGCATTCATGGCAATATTCCTGAATGGATATGTGAAAAGGATGATCTTCGAATTCTTGACCTTTCTCATAATAATTTAAGTGGGAAGATCCCAAATTGTCTTCCTATGTTTCTCTCTGTGTTGAATTTGCAGGGCAATAACTTTGATGGAAACATACCAGTTGGATTTCCAAAGAGCTGTGGATTACAAAATCTCAACTTACATGGAAATCAAATGGACGGGCTATTGCCAAGATATTTGGTGAATTGTAGCATGCTAGAGGTTCTAGATGTTGGAAACAACAACATAGAGGATACATTCCCTCATTGGTTAGAATCTCTACAAGAGCTTCAAGTGCTTGTCTTAAGGTCCAACAAATTCCAAGGTTTCGTGAATGGTAGCAAAGAAGGTCCATCTTTTCCGAAGTTACGAGTCCTGGATCTCTCCAACAATGATTTTCTTGGCCCTTTGCCTATTCGGTACATGGAAAATTTTAGAGCCATGATGGACCCTCTTAGAGATGACGGTTCCCCTAAATACATGAAGATGAGAAACCCTTTTTATCAATATTCACTGGTGGTGATAATGAAAGGATTCGAGTATGAGCTGCAGAGAATCTTGACTATATTCACTAGCATTGATCTCTCAAATAACAAGTTTGAAGGCAAAATTCCAGATGTTATTGGAAAGCTTAGTTCTCTCAAAGGGCTTAATATTTCTCATAACAACCTTACTGGTCCTATCTCACAGTCACTAGGGAATTTGACAAACCTCGAGTGGTTGGATCTCTCTTCCAACGAGCTGGTAGGGAAAATTCCGGATGAGTTGGTATCTTTGACACAACTTTCTGTATTGAATCTTTCAAATAATCATCTTGTTGGACACATACCACAAGGCAATCAGTTCAACACCTTTGGAAATGATTCTTATGAAGGAAACCCTGGACTGTGCGGATTCCCATTGTCAAAATCTTGTAATGGAAGTGGGAAACCGCCGAGCTCCTTCCAAGAGAAAGATGAGTGGTGGAGATTTGGCTGGAGAGTTGTGGTGTTAGGCTATGGGTGTGGAGTTGTTTTTGGACTGCTGATGGGATATCATGTTTTCCGTACAGGAAAACCAAAATGGTTTGTGTCTTTGTTTGATGGCCGACTAAGTCAAAGTCGAAGGAAGACGAGGAAAGCCAGAAGAGTTGTTTCAAGAAGAAGCTAGTTGCCGGGTTGATGTTTTAGACCTTTTGATTAATGTTTAATGAATAAGTACTCCTTGGATTTGAAGCTCTTGTTTTATTGTAAAATTACATGCCTGTATAAATAAATAAATATATGTCGTTTTGCGCAAAGCCATAAGTTCTCCGGCCCCAACCCTACGTTGGTCGAGATTACCCACGGCAACCGTCCGTTGCACGCAATTTGTAAACCACCTCCATCGCTCCGCTGCCTTTTTCTGTCTCTTCCTTAACAGCCTCTTTCTCGATTCCTTCCTTGGTTCTCTCTGTTTTTTTCTAGTACAAAATAATTGAGAAACGAAAGCTTTTGGGAATTTTGCAGCCAATTGTTTAGTATTTTGCTGGTGGTAAGTGGGTTAATTTGAGCATTTGAAAATCGGGTAGATCGATCTTGAATTATGTAACTTTTGGGATTGTGATGCGATGCCGGTAGTATTCTGGGGTGGTCTCTGATTTTCTGTTTAGATTTTGTGAATTGAGTTGGTTTGAATCCAGATGATCGGGTTTAATTATGTGGTTTGATTTTGATTGTAAAGATA